AGTGCAAGTGCTTTTCAGACTGTCAATACGATGGTGATTGGCTGCATCAAGGAGTGTATCAACTATGGTGGATTGACAGAGATTCATCACTCCGGGTATGGTGAGAAAGTTATCTCACGGCGCAATTCGTATTGGCAATGACACTAAAACGTGTGCCACAGTGGGATTGATTTTGCTCTATCCAGTTTAATAATACGGTCATTGGTCTAAAAAAAACTGAATAAATAATATCGAGAGTAACCGAAGGTTGACACTATTTCTATGCCTTCGTCTCATCGAGATAACGTATGATGAAAGATTGATTGGAACGTAACCATATTGTTTTAGGCAGCTACTTTGTTGAATCGAATCTATCGGGTGGCCATGATACCTTGCTAGGGGCCAATCTTGGTCTGTGTATTAGTGAGACGATTAATTGTGTTAATCGCGATACTATACACTGCCGATATGATGAGGAGCCTATGGGTCACACACATAGAAGACGATTTAAGATCCAAGAAGAAAGAAGGGCATTTTCGTCTTTTAAGGCGAAAAGGTATTTTGGTATTTCACAGTGCAATTAAATTTGCTGAGTCGTAGCCTTTATTTAATTTTTAGAAAAATTAAATAAGTGAAATACGTTTAAATGCGTGTTCACACATATTTAAATATATTATCATTATTGTTAAATGTTAATATATATTAAATATATATTAATGTTTTAATTGAGATAATGATGGAAAAAAATAAATCAAATTGGAGGTTTGGCAACATGGGGCATTTGGGTGAAGCCAAGCCTATTCCGTATGGGATTAGGGCAAATTGTATTACTATAAAAAAAAGTGTGTTAATAAATGATGCAGATTTTCTCTTTGAAAGAAAAACACACAGCCCCAAATATTGACACTCCCACGGCAGATTGATTTTGCCTTGAAATCAATTTCATTGATTTTTCTTTTTCTTCTTAATCTTGAAGCCAAAGAGGATCTAGCAAATACCTCTTTGGTTCTTTTGAGATTGTCTTCGTGTGGACTACACAGGTTCGATCCTACACTTGGATCGGTAGCAAAACATTCGTCGACAAATTTGGAGGAGCCTCCAATGTGCGTGTTGTTTCTCTTAACTCGTCTAATATTTCTGCAGTTTCTTATTTGATAAAATTGTAAAATTATCCTTGATCTTGGCTCATGTAAACGATCCCTGAGTTATATTATTTTGTTTCCGCTGGCGTATACGGGACCGTTTACTAACAATGAAGCATAACAATTAAATAGAGTACAAATTTACTGTTAATAATAGGTCAAGGCAGCTCGTAACCCACTCGCATGTCCAATCCCAAGCAAATGAAACATAATCATTTTAATCCTTGAAGGTTCAAATTCCAATGTGGTGTGAGTGAGATTAAATAGAAGATATATTCAAATGGAAGATGGTAAGTGGTTCAACATACCAAATTAGTGCACCAAACTCTAAATGATTGCTATAAGTGTCAATAGTTTGTTATGAACCTGCTCAATGAAGGCAAAGAAAGATCGCATTAAATGCATCACTAAGGTTTTGCTTCTAAAGAAAAATGATATTAAAATTTCAAACTACCGAATGTTTAATCAACCCAAGCCGCAATAAGGTAGCAACAATATGATGCTCATTCCAACATTCACAAAGGAGCACTGGGAAATTTAAACACTACATGATGCAGAAATCAAGAGATCCTTCTGTTTTTCTTTTCTTCATCTAATTATAAATATTTTGAAAACACAAGTAGAGATGGTTAGATGATATCTCAACCAAATAATATAACTACACTAGATCCAACATCCCTACCTAAAACCCCAAACCAGCTAAAAAACAAAACAAAGCAAACACCTAGAGTACAGTGGGAATTGGCCACTTCATCATGAAAAAATCAAAAGATTTGAACGGCTATCTATAATGTAAACTATGAAAAATATAAAATCTCACCCACGTCTGTATATACTCTACTCTAATCACATAAACTTACACATTCACGACACACATCCAAGACTTCAATATTCATCTTCCTAAACCACATGAGAAATATAAGCTAAAATCCAAAAACAACAATACGTTGAACTTATTTCTAAATATTAAATAAATTACCACAACCCCACATTAAAAGAATAAATTACAAGCCTCCCAAGTGAAAGTAAATTCCCAACTGTGAATGTGATCCTGAACTTGATTGTAATTAAGAAAACAAGCATTGACTATGATATGGAAAGATAACAGTGAAAAAGGTAATAACATAACCGCCACAAAAAATTGTGATATTAAACGAAGTACTCACGCAGTAGTGTACAAAATAACCTTATGATAAGCATATGGCAAAACCAACCTCTGTTTAATGAGAGAAATTGGATTAAAACTAGTACATGTAAAATTCTGATCTTATACGTATACACCAAAAAGTTAAGCTGGTATATTTTCCTATTGAACTCATATATAAATGATAAAATGTTTTGCAGGAAGTCGTTGGCTTTATCAATTTCAAGTTTCAACACAAGCAGCAAACTGATTTTAATTCTTAAAATCACCCCACAAAGACCAGTATATGGTTTTTTGAAAAATAATGAAAACAAGAATGGGAAATTATGTACACTACAAAAACTCTGACGTGTTCAGTCGCTGAAATCAACGATGATCGACGATGGAAGATAAACGAATGTTACGATGATCGATGGTCGAAATATACGATTCAAGAGGATCGAAGTCAAACAACGAAGTCCACGATGATCAATCCGTCGAAGATGACAAGAGATCGAAGAAAGAACTAAACAGATCGAAGAACGAAATTCGAGTTCAAGAATGAAGAATGTCCCGCATCGTCAGTGAGAAGAAGAACGAACAAAGAAGAGAATGAGATGAGTTAGCGAATAATTTTTAGGTTTTCCTTTCCAACATTTTTACCGGTTTTTCCTCACATTTGGGCCCTACACGAATGAAAAGTGACAAAGTAAGCCCCAATAATGTCAATTTGACCCCTAAACAATAAAAAGAGACAAAATCAACCTCATGTCAGGTGGGCGAAATAATATTTGTTCCTGTAAATATTGGGTTATGGTAACACTTATAAAATGTTACTATTTTTATTATATGGTAACATTAAAAAAGTTACTACATTATTGTCTATTGTAACATTTTAAAATGCTATTGTGTTCTATATTAGTAATTTTACAAAAAAGAGTTACCATTGATATAAAGTGTTACAAAAAGTTAAAGTGTTACATAAAAATTGTTATCGTAACATTTTTAAGATCAAGTGTTACATACGATAGATAGAACGGTAACACTTAAGGAAAAGGCTACTGTCCAGTGTACCGTAGCCATTTTTGTTGTAGTGAAGCGTTCCGAATCCATACATCAACAGAGTCCGACTGGCAAAAGAATAAGAAAAGAAAAGAATAAGAAAGCATGAGAAAACGCTTGAACAAGCAAAGAAAAGAAACAAGAAAGAAAAGAAAGCTTGGGCAAGCAAGACAAGAAGAGAAAAGAAAAGCATAGAAAGAAAAAGAAAAGATAGAGAAGAAAGAAAAGAAAAGAAAAGAATAGAAAAAGAAAGAATAGAAAAAGAACTAAACTGCATTTTTATGCATTTTTAGCATTATTGCATATGCATTCATTTATGCATTTCCATGAATTTTTTGTGTTAAAAATAATAAGAGTAGCAGAAGAGAAAGAATAGAAAGTGTAAGAAAGAAAGAACAGAAAGAAAGAAAGAACCAGAGAGATTAGAAAGAAAGAAAAGAACATTGAGAATTCGAAGCAGAGAAGAAAGAAGAAGAGAATTAAGGAAAGAATCAAAGAAGAAGACAAGTTGAGGGATTTACTTACTGAGCATTTTTTATGCTCAACCCGTTGTTTTCCATGTTTTGCAGAAATAGGTGAGCAGTCGTCGGAAGGACATCGACAAGCGGAGAGAATTGGCATTACTGTCCACGTTCTAAGTTTTTGTACTTTTTATTTTGATATATGTAAAGCAATTATATTTTGTATGTAAAGAACAAATTTGGGGCCCAACTATTTTCATATGCTAATTATGTATTTTTTCATTGTATATGTTATAAATATATTCTATTAGAAAGAAGTCCATTACATTTAGATATTGGTTGTAGTTTAACTAGAAAAATTTGGTAGCAAGTTTCCAAGTAGTACCAAAACCACAAATATCAGGAACTATATAACATAGACAATAGTAGAAAAATAGCAAACTGAAAACTAATCACAGATATATGAGGATTGGTTGTGGACTTGGCTCTCTATTAACTAGTTAGCTCTTGAGAAGAATTATCAAATGCAATAGCTCCCTTCCCTTAACAAAGCCTCGTCCTCGAGGATAAATTCTGAAAATATTCTTGATGTTCCTAGTAGCTTCTCTGGTGTAGTCTTTGCCAATGGACTAAAACATTTATTTGCCTTTGTGAATCTCGTCGTCTAAATATACTTGAGGAACTAGAGGAGAGAATCATTTGTTGAACTCAGGAAGATTGGTAACATAACTCGCCACTCTTAAGTTTTTCCTTCAACTACGAACATGAAAACTAGATAGATATGAGATATTGAAGTTAACTTTACATCAATACTCCACTTTTCAATCGATCAATTGTTTCAAAAGGCCTATAAACTTGAGTAGAGAGTTTGTAATTCTTCCTTAGAGCAATAGTTGATATATTGTTGTAGTTGAGATAACAATAATCCCCTATCTTGAACTCTTTCCAGTATATTTAACATCATATAATTTCTTCATCATATCGTGAACTTGAGAATATACCTGCAAACATCCTTAAGGACTTGGTATCTAGAAATCAACTCTTGCTCGACAGCTTCCAACGTGCAGTCCTAGGAATATACTCAAGGAATCGTAGGGGGCTTCTTCCATAAACTATTTCAAATGGGTCTTTCTGTACCATAGTTTACCAACTTGTATTTAACAAAATTCGCCCATGACAACCAACTCATCCACTCTTTAGTTTTAGAATTGTTTAAAACACCTCAGACCCATCTGTAACGTATAAACCTTCTTATACAAAAAACTTTATATATGCCTAACAAATATGCATCAATCATTTTTACATTATAATACCTAGATGATTGGAAAATTAACTATTAAAAATAGTTAATCCTTTCCCATCATTCAAAAAATTCCAACAACAAAAACCATCATGCATACCATCTTTCACTCCCAATTGTGCTTTATCAATTGTGCATTTGGCTGGTTGCACCATGGCAGATCTGAATGTGGTGACTACTCTGGGCAGCATGAATTTCCAAGCACTCACTGTTAAAGTACAAAGATAACAAATTTTTAAGATACGGGTTAAAAGAGTGAACTGCAAAATGAATTAAGAGTCTTTGTGTATATTTAAGTACAACTTACTTGCAACCATAAACAAGATTAACATGCAAAAAGATGTGCAATGCCTTTGTTCAAACTTTTCCAGGCATCTAATACTTCATAAGTAACAGGGACCAATTGAGGAATAAGTATTCCATTCTCTGGAGGCTTCAGGGGCTTCTCTATAGCCTTTCTGCAAGTTTTTCATCCTTCCTAGTAGCCCGCGTCATCTTCTTTATTGGAATGAGAAAAGGCTTCTTCTTTCTCTTAGGTAGTACAGGTGGAAGATCCACATTTTGGGGATTTTTTGTTTCTTTACAGTTTGATAATGTCCAGATCTTTGGCTAGCACATAGGAATATCCTACAACTTGTTGACTCAACTTTCTGAAGCTGCCCAAGCCCAAACTGCATGAAGAATGAAATTGAAGCATGAGCTTCTAAAACAATTATCCATAAAGAATGTCACCAAGGACAAAACACAAACTTACAAATTCACGGTAGGTGCATAAAATTTTCTCATGCAAATATTCATAAATTTAACTAGCATTGTTTTCCACACAAAAAAACAGAGATTGGCAAATCATTTTATACATCACATATTAACAGATTTACTTCCAACATAATATATGATTAAAATAAAAAACCCAATAGAACATAATCAAGAGAACATAACCTGCAACCATAGAGTGTATGAGCTAGTAGCTGAGAGTTGAGGCCTCAATTCCATGGCATTGTACTAAACACATGTGAAGTGAAACAATGTCAAAAATTATTTTACATAATAATGACACTTGTTTTTAGCTCATTTTGGTAATCTAGCTTACACCAACACTTTTAAAGTAGAAATACCATTTGCAAAGTAGCACCTGATGATTGTTTTATTTTTCATAAGGGTGCTAAAATTTTCATTTATACCGAGTACAATATGTGTGATACCTATCTTTGCGCCAAATGAAAATACGCTTTCATTGCCCTCATGCCCTTAACAGTTTAATCCTCGATAACAAAATAAAAAGAAAGTAACTAGCTTACCCTTTTAAGATGGATTCCATGCAGAAGGCAGAACTGGTGGTGTCCAGAGCATTTGTTTCCAAAAGTATCTGAATTGCCTCACACTTCCTTAAATAAAAACTAAATGGTGCAAATGTAAAGTCAGAATCAAAAAATTGAAGCAGAGCTTTGTAATTAATGATGTGGGTTTTTCATGAGGTAGAGGTGATGAATGTTGGAGTAGGTGCCCTAGAGCCAATCAATTATTGTAGAATTGACTCTTTGTAATAATGTTCATTAATCAATAAAAGATATTTTATTCTATATCGTGTAAATCATTATTATTGCAATATGTATTGATATATGTCCTTAGAATGGTAGACCCGTAACGAGGGTATCAAGTATTTTAAATCTTGATAGTGAGAACCCTATGAGCACATATGGTGGCCATTCTAGAAACGTCCATAGCCCTAGTATTATTCTGAAGTAAGGGCACAGATAACACGGTAAGGCTATCATAGTGTTGAATGACCCTGTCGAAAGGCAGTGACTGATCTCACTTGTCAAGGTTGTTTAGTGAAAACCTGGTGCAACACATGGGTGCTTGCTGTAGGCGATTACACCGCAGCAAGTTCACTGGATTGACCCACCAGAGGATTCTATATGGATGGTAACCCCAGTGTCTATGGAACAAATCCTCTAACGAATGATGGTACATGTGATCCTTAGACTTGAGATCACCGGAGCGCCTTGTGCATCGATTGGTGTAGTTTGACATTAGCCTAACGCNATAAAAAGGCGAAATTCACATCTAAAGCAAGAATCCTTACCTTAGGATGCTTTAGATTAACTTTCTACCAAAATCACTCAAAAAGCCCTTTAGAGTCCTTGAAAGATTGAAGGAAAACTTGAGAGGAAATAGAGAATGGAAGAGGCGGTGGAAGATGAAGATGAAGAATGAAGGGGTTACAAAGCTCATTCCCTTTTTAGCTCAAAATATCTTCATTCATTCCCATAATGCCCTTACTCTTTCTTGGACATTCCATCCTTGTCCTTTGATTCCTTACACTCACACCCCCACTCTAACATATTCTCCATGAAATTTCCTTATATTTTACTCCCCACTTTTCCTACTAATTAGGGGTAAAATGGTCCATTTGCCCTTAAGGAAAAATACCTAGCAAATTCAATACAAAACTCAGCTGGCTCTTCACCGTGGCGAAGCAAGTTTCTTCGCCTCGGTGAAAAATGAAGGCAATCCTTGAATGGCAGAGGCCAAAGACAATAAAAGAAATTAGAAGTTTCTTAGGCCTAATAGGTTACTACCAGCGATTTGTAGCAGTGTTTACCCAATTGGCTAAACCGTTGACAACTCTTACTAAACAGAGAACTCCTTTTTCATGGTCAGAAGCATGTGAGAAGAGTATTCAAGAGCTAAAGAAGAGGTTAACAACAGCTCCTGTGTTAGTGTTACCTCATGAGGGTGTAGATTATAACATTTATACCGATGCCTCATTGCAAGGACTTGGTGCCGTGTTGATGCAGTTAGGTAGGGTGATAGCATATGCCTCTCGGCAATTGAAAGAGTATGAGACGAGATACCCTACGCATGACCTAGAGTTGGCAGCAGTGATCTTCGTATTAAAGATTTGGAGGCATTACCTTTATGGTGCCAAGAGTACACCGATCATAAGAGTTTAAAGTACTTCTTCACTCAGAAGGAGTTGATTATGAGACAGAGAAGGTGGTTAGAGCTAGTTAAGGACTATGAGTGTGAGATCAAGTACCAACTGGGAAAAGCCAATGTAGTAGCTGATGCCTTGAGTAGGAAAGCCTATTTATCCTAGCTCACTAAGCAGAAAGAGCTAATAAAAGAGTTGTATAGAGAACAGATTGAAGTGTTTCCGGGAGGGATTGCCAGGTTAGAGATTCAATCTACTTTATTGAAGGAAATCAAAGAAAAGCAAGTGGCCGATGAGTGGTATCCGAGATTAGTGCAGCAAGTGCATGAGGGCAAGACATCAGAGTTCCCCCTAAGAGATGGTGTCCTCTATTTTAGAAATCGGTTGTGTATTCCTCCAAATGGTGAGTTGAGAAAGAGAATTCTTATGGAGGCTTATGACACACCATATGCTGCTCATCTTGGAGTGACCAAGATGTATCAAGATGTTAAGAAAGGCTATTGGTGGCCAGATATGAAGAGAAAGGTTGCAGAGTTTGTATCTAAGTGCCTGGTTTGTCAGCAGGTAAAAGTAGAACACCAAAGACCGTAAAGGTTGCTTCAGCCACTTAGTATTCCAAAGTAGAAATGAGAGAGCATTTCGATGGATTTCATCATAGGTCTCCCAAGAGTACAGAGAGGGTATAATGCTATATGGGTGATTGTGGATAGGTTAACCAAGTCAGCCCATTTCCTTCCAGTAAAGGAGAGTACCACTACGGATCAATTGGCTCAGATGTACATTAAGGAGATAGTCAGGTTGCATGGTATGCCCAAGGCAATAGTGTCGAATAGAGATTCCAGATTTGTTTCAGCTTTCTGGATGAGTTTACAAAGGAATTTGGGTACCCATTTGGCTTTCAGCACTGCCTATCATCCTCAGACGGATGGCCAAACAGAGAGAACGAATCAGGTGCTTGAGGATATGTTGAGAGCCTGCTGTATAGATTATAAAGTATCTTGGCATGAGATGTTACCCTTGGTGGAGTTTGCCTACAATAATAGTTATCAGTCTACAATTAAGATGGCGCCTTATGAGGCTTTGTATGGTAGACGATGTAGGTCTCCACTATATTGGGATGAGATTAGTGAAAAGGATGAGTTGAGTACAGTTCTTGGGCCAGAGATGACTCTGAAGATGCTAGAGGATGTAAGGTTAATCAGAAACAAAATGAAGCAAGCCCAAGACAGACAGAAAAGTTATGCCGACTTGAAAAGGAAAGAGGTTGATTTCCAAGTGGGTGATAAAGTGTTTTTGAGAGTTTCCCCCTACAAGCGAGTGATGCGCTTCGGGAATAAAGGGAAGTTAGCATCGAGATACATAGGTCCATTTGAGATTTTGCAGCGAGTGGGAAAGGTAGCCTACAGATTGGCACTACCACCTAGTATGGACAAGGTGCATGATGTTTTCCATGTCTTGATGCTATGGAAGTATGTAAGTGACCCCTCCCATATTCTGAGTGTAGAGGCTGTTGAGTTAGCAGAGAACCTTGTGTACGAGGAACGCCCAGTTCAGATTTTAGACTGAAGAATTAAAGAGCTCCAGAATAAGAGTATTCCATTAGTGAAGGTCCTTTGGAGAAATCACAAGGTAGAAGAGGCCACATGGGAGGTTGAGCAAGACATGCAAAGTCGTTACCCGGAGCTGTTTATGTGAATTTCGGGGATGAAATTCTTTTAAGGGGGGGGAGAATTGTAACGCCCCACTTGAGGTATGTAGCTAATTTATGTTGCATTGCTTGAATCTTTATTGTTTTGCTCTTAATTGAGTTGTTATATTGTTAATATTGTTTGGTTGGCCCTTGGTTGAATGGATGTATTGATTTGGTTGAGTGGTTGCCCTGAAATTGTAAAGACTTGGCGAAATCTTGGTGTTACAGACTTCGCCGGGGTGAAGAATAATCTTCGCCGTGGCGATGAGGTTCTGCAACCAAAGAGGTAGGTTTTGTAATTTTTTGTCGGGGTGAAGAAACTTGCTTCGCTGCGGCGAAGAACCGGCTGAGTTTTGTATTGAATTTGCTAGATATTTTTCCCTAAGGCAAATGGACCATTCTACCCCTAATTAGCAGGAAAAGTGGGGAGTGAAATGTAAGGAAATTTCATGGAGAATATGTTAGAGTGGGGGTGTGAGTGTAAGGAATCAAAGGACAATGATGGAATGTCCAAGAAAGAGTAAGGGCATTATGGGAATGAATGAAGATATTTTGAGCTAAAAAGGGAATAAGCTTTGTAACCCCTTCATTCTTCATCTTCCACCGCCTCTTCCATTCTCCATTTCCTCTCAAGTTTTCCTTCAATCTTTCAAGGACTCTAAAGGGCTTTTTGAGTGATTTTGGTAGAAAGTTAATCTAAAGCATCCTAAGGTAAGGATTCTTGCTTTAGATGTGAATTTTACCTATTAATGAGTTGAAGTCTCATAGTATGGTTGGTTGAGATTGTAGAGAAAAGGCAAGTTACCAAAGTTAAAGAGAAGTGCTAGTGGAATCACTCCATTACAAGTAAATTCAACCAAGTTGAGATTTAAAAACTCCTTTGAGTAGAGAATTATATATGCATGTGTATGCTATATTATTGAGAATTGAATTGAAATGAGTATTTGCTTTGTGGTTGTTGAATACACTTCATTTATGAGAAGTGTTGAGATTGCATGATGTGTGATGAGTGAGATGAAATTGGAGGAGATTGAGAAATCTTTTTAGAAGTGTTTGTCCTTGACAGGAATTATAGCTATGTGAGGGAGTTTCCTCCCATTTTGGATGGTTAGAGAAAGAAGTAGAGTTATTGTTATGGTAGAGTTTTTATATGCACATGAGTTGTTTGATGAAATGCCTAAGAGAAGTATGAGCATGAATAGTAAACCCTAATTCTTGCAACATTGCATATTGGCATTTCATTAGTACATTAATGAGCATTAACCATCCATACGCATTAGTTGTGCGTTGAGTAGTAGCTTGAGAAAGAGTAGAAAATTTGAGTATAAATTACTCTAAGAGTAATAAGAATGAGAAAACTCCAAGAGTAGAGTGAAAGAGAGAATAAGCACTAGAGAATAAAAACAAGAGTAGTGCTACACGAGAGAATAGAGTAGGTCATGCGATGGGGAACCCGTAAGTGATGAGTAGAATCGTCACGAGTTGTGGGAGCTTTGTGATCTTCCAGCCGTGCCTCCGGTAAGATGAGGTTGTGACACTCGAGAGAGAGAGAGAATACACTCACGTGGCCAAGGGTTCCGAATCCATGCATAATCAAGTCTGATCGACAAAGAATGAGTTAAGGTCAAGAGTAGTGGGGGCTTTGTGATCTTCCGGCTGTGCCTCCGGTAAGATGGGGTCGTGACACTTGAATGAGTATTGGTCACGTAAAGCGGGATTGAGTTCCTGGCCGTGCCTCCGATAAGACGAGGTCGTGACATATGACTGAGTCTTTTTGTGCTCACCCCGTTGTTTCTATGTGTTTTGAAAGATCTAGGTGAGGACGCAGTCGGATGGACGTCGGCAAGC